AAACGCCAGGTGGGGCCTTGTATCTATGATGTTCATCACATTATACCACGCCTGCGTTACCCCGCGGCTGTTTGTAACTGGTTGTAACCAGTTACGGAACAGACTGAGGGGGACTGCTTACACTGAGTGTGCATTAGCTGAGTGTCCACTAGTCGTACAGGTGAAGCGTGTGTCCTGTTTTGAGCTGCCATGAGGCTTTTGGATATTGTTCTGCGCATTCTTAGGTTGTAAGCCAGACAATAATGGTTCAATTTAGCCACACAAAGAAACAACACATAAAGCAAGAAGCGCAGATCCTTTGACGGGTGTGGGGAACGATATCTTTGCTGTCAAAGATATCATCTCCTTGAGTGCAACCTGAAAGGCATGTACGATTTTTCCAGAGTTAAGAGGCGGCTGCATTCTTCTCACAATCATTGCCACACCTGCTGGGTTTACATTGCCCCTGCTGTTAGGTTGTTTTTTTGCATGAAATCAATGCCGCTTGTGTCTTAAAATCATGTTTGTTGCCATGTGCGACATGAAGACGCTGAAACGAAAAAGGAAAACATAGATAAGACAACTGTAATGGCCTTATTTCTCAGAGAAAAACCAGGAGAACGAAGATTTAATCCATTGATATTTTGGCAACATGCCTTTATCCAATAGCAGAAGTGAATTCGTTTCACTTCCGCTGTTCGTTGAAATAAACGCATGTTGCCGAAATGTCAACGGATCTATATCACCATTCTCCTGTTTTTCCAAGGAATAAGACTATTACTACCGTCTTATTCATGTGAATAATGGTCCTCACAAATGCACTTAACAACTTACGAGAAGAAAAGCTGCCGACAGTTCCAATCTGAGAACTTAGCACCGCGCCATAACATGGTCGCCTTTGAAGCCGTTCGAACTTCATAAATCATGTTTTCTTTTCATCACAAATGTGTCCAAACAGGGCAACAAATGGGTTTCTCATCCGCTGTCTCATCCTTATCGGTACCTTAATATCACAAAGCTCGCACACGTGCCAGCTCCGTTGCTACGCGACGCATTCAGATCTGATATGCAGCATATCCGTGCCAGCTCACGTTTCGCAATGCACTGCCGCACTTCACCACACAGTCTTATCTTGTTGCCTTAGCTGTGCGGTGTGCCAGTGCCTGGCGTCTATGCCACAGGGGTACACTTGAGGCACGTAGCCAAAGATGTCCTCGGGAAGGAGCAAATGCCAAATTTTGCCAAACTTCATAGGACTTGGACCAAATATCTGCGCAATCCCACAGCGCATGATCGCACTGCGTGTGAATAATAAATCTCATCGCATCTACGAACGGGGAGGGAGAGGGCACGATCCCCTTGACCAGCCCTTGGCTACGTTCCTGACATATCTACAGACAGGTTGGTGGTTGCAGCCCCCATTCTGTGCCCAATTCCCTCAACCTCCCCAAACCCTGCGGCTAACTCTCTCGGCTTTGAATTCGAACCGAGGAAGGTCCGTGGAAGTTCAAGTGTTGGGGACTCAGGTCTTGAGCCGCTAGTGCAAACCCGCGCCTGTGATCAGCGCAGTTCTCACCTGGCATCTGGTCTGTGATCAGCGCAGTTCTCACCTGGCTTCTGCGTCTGTGATCAGCCCAGTTCCCACCTGGCATCTGGTCTGCGATCAGCGCAGTTCCCACCTGGCATCTGCGTCTGTGATCAGGGCAGCTCCCACCTGGCATCTGGTCTGTGATCAGGGCAGTTCTCACCTGACATCTGGTCTGTGATCAGGGCAGCTCCCACCTGGCATCTGCGTCTGTGATCAGCGCAGTTCTCACCTGGCATCTCCGTCTGTGATCAGGGCAGTTCCCACCTGGCATCTGGTCTGTGATCAGCGCAGTTCTCACTGGCATCGGCGTCTGTGATCAGCGCAGTTCTCACCTGGCATCTCCGTCTGTGATCAGGGCAGTTCCCACCTGGCATCTGGTCTGTGATCAGCGCAGTTCCCACCTGGCATCTGCGTCTGTGATCAGCGCAGTTCCCACCTGACATCTGCGTCTGTGATCAGCACTGCCCTCAGCTGGCATGACTTGCGCCTACATCACACTTCATTCGTCGGAAATGTTCCGTACATTTCAAAGCACGCAACTCCTCATGCGCTGGCATGGCTGTAAGAACACAGGGACCGGTGCGAAATCTGTGGGGTCAAGGGACATACCACATCGCCTTTCATGAAAGATAACGTCAAACGTATATTACATCGACGTATACGGTATGTTAACATCATTCGCACATTGTTAGCCTTTTTGTACCGTTTCCCAGGGATAGGTACCCAGGGGTGCCTACATCAATTATACAATACTCTATTGTATAACAATGCTCTATCATATAATATATAATAATACTCTAAATATATAATATATAATAATAATACTCTATCTATATAACAATACTCTATTACAGCAACACATTAAACCATTAATATACGTCGACCGTATATCGACGCATAGAGGCGATTAAGTCGAGAAACGCTCGCCCCAAATATTCCGCTGTTTTTACGCCGCTCCGCACCGGACACAGATTCACCAGCACGCTGGCAGGCCGAGCGTGACACCGTTGCGAGCGCTCGGACCAGACCCCGATCCCGTCTGCGGGCGGCCGGCGGTCGTCACGCGTCACGCGTCACGTCACGCGGCCGCCGTCACGCCCGGCTCGCGCTGCACGGCGCGTGCATCGGGAGCATTGACTCGGCGGAGTGCAGGCCGCCCGCCCGGGTGAGGGCTTCAGTGGAGACGGGCAGAGGCCGCAGCGGGGTTGAGAAGAGGCTGCAACGAGATCGAGTGGAGGCCGCAGCGGGGCTGGGTAGAGGCCGCAGCGGGCCCAAGTAGAGGCTACAGTGGGGACGAGTAGAGGCTACAGCGGGGCGGAGTAGAGGCTGCAGCGGGGCCGAGTAGAGGCCGCAGCGGGCCGAGTAGAGGTTGCAACGAGACCGAGTAGAGGCTGCAGCGGGGCTGAGTAGAGACCGCAGCGGGGCCAAGTAGAGGTTGCAGCGGGGCCAAGTAGAGGCCGCAGCGAGCCGAGTAGAGGTGCATCGGGGCTGAGTAGATACCGCAGCGCGGCCGAGTAGAGGCCGCAGCGAGGCCGAAGCTGTGGCGGGGCTGAGCGGAAGGGCAATAAGGCT